CATCCCATATGGTTTCCTTTGAGGGAATCCCCAGGTTCATTCCCTCATTCCCTACTGAGCACCAGCAAGTTTTGTCCCTGGTGGTTGGTGTCCCTTTTGACAGCTTCCCTCTAGTGGGTGGTTTGGAGCCCGGTGGTTTGGTGACGAAACGGAGGGGTTTCTCATGTACCTTCTACAAGAAAACAAAGACACCCTCTTTTTGGTTTCCCCGTACAACCATCCAAAAACACCTGCCTCGGTTTGGGGAGAGGAAAACGAGAAAGACTCCATGGCAAGCTTGGGAGGGGCAACTCCAAAATGGAACCCTGGTACATGGAAAGGACTAAAAAATCTGCGGTGCCTGGCGAATTTCGACTCATACCCAAATTCTCTAAGAGCATGTCTCGCAACCTCTCGGAAGCCATGGTGGCTGACATCTAGAAGCAGGTGGGAGAAAAGTGGGTCCCGAGTGGACACCTGCCAGTGTTGACTGTCCCCAATTTTCGGACCGGATTTCTGCCCAGCCCTCCATATCCTTGCACCCGCCTACGCCCTGGGGCCCCAGGCAGTGTTTGGAGCTGGGGTGGAGTTGAAGCTGCAGCCGCGTCTTCACGGTGTCAAAGGGGTACCCCACCTTCAGCTCCCCCCATTGGTGATTTGGAGCTGGTTTTCCCTTCAGGGCCGGCTTTCAATATCTGGGCCATCTTAAGATCAGCTTCCCCTGGTTGGTTTGGCGCCTCGCAAGGGGCTTGTCCCTTGACTTTTGCAAGGGGCTTCCCTCGAAAAGGCAGCTTGGAGCCGAACCGCTGCTTTGGAGGTGTTCCGGCACAGGTCTTCCAGTGCCATTTACCCACAACCAGGGGTTCAAATCCAAATATCCAAATCACCCCTCCAAGCCACCGAGAAGGGGTAACCTGACCCTTCGGGCCCAGGAAGCAAACGGCAACGCCTGTTTGAGCGCGGCTGTGGAAATTGGGGCCAAAAACCGCCCAAATTGCCCGCCACCCGTCAGACTGCCAACACACTTGTCATATACAAGGGGCCAAAGAATTAGAATGGGCAGGGTGCAGTATTCTACCAAATTACCTCATGATCAGAGAATGTGTGTATTAATTTGGTCTGCTTAGCCCGTTTTGCTATCCTATCTATCAATGTATGCTGCCATGGTGCTGGCAGCCGTCTAAAGGGGCCCAAGGTCTAGTTGCTTACAACCTCAAGCCCACCTTCCACTGCAAAAGCAGCGAAACCGGCAAAAAAGAATCCCCAAAGGTCGAGGAAGTACAAGTGTTGGTCTCAGATGGGCAAACAACACGAAATTGCATTTCTCTTTCCAGCAAGCCGCCAAGGCACCTAAAGATACTGTTGGAAAAATTGTGTTCCAGGGGTGTTCAAATCAGTTTCCGCGCAAATGCGGGGAGCGCAACTTGCAGGTCAGTACTTGAACTTGGAGTTGCTCCCAAGTCTTCTCAAGTCTTTTGGGTAGAAAAGTGGTTCCCATAGGGGAACCTCACTTCCTGAGTTGGGCCAAGAAAAGCATCCAAACTTTTTGTGTGCCAATAAAATGGTCTGAACCCAAAAAGTGTTTAGAGTCCATGAACTCGGGGAGTGAGGAACTGACCGGAAAAGCCGACCCATGTTCTTCCCTTCGGCTTGGTCATCCTGCGGGTTCCTTCGTGATTCCAGAATTCTAAATCTGACCTCAAAGCCGTTGATCCACGCAGATTCGCCGCACCAAAACAAATGGCTTGTTCATGTTGTTCGACCCCCGGAAAAGAGCAAAAGAAGCTGCACCCATCCAGGCTTTGTTGTTTCCACAAAGAATCCACGGGGGCCTCTAGTGAGAATCCCAGATTTATTCATGCTGAGACCCCTTTAAAAAAAAAGGCACGCAGCTGAAACAACTTGAGAGAATCCAAGGGCTGTTCCCAAATGCCCTGCTGAAAGTCGAAAACTTTTGGTGGCTTAGTGAAACTACCACTAAAACCAAAAAACCTAACAACCCCGTTCTTGGGATAGAAATTCCCACCCTGAAAAGAGCACCCGCGTCGGGCCTTCGAAGGAAGCCCTGAAGGATGTTGTTCAAATAGCTTGGTGGCATAAACTGAGAATCAAGCTATAGGATAGTGTCCGTAATACTATTCAAACCAATATTCAGGAAGCTTTTAGAGAGCTTGATTCTGAGTTTATGCCCATGGCTTCATCCCCCCGGTTGTGTTCAGCGCCCAAACCGTGCCGACGGATTGTTTTCTTTTCTTTTCATGGCGTGGGGCGAAGATGTTGCAGCAGGCAAAGGCCGCCCCTGGGAGCATCTTGGAGCAGGCCGCCTGGACGAGCGAATCGGTCGAAAATACTGTGGATGGACAAAATCCGTTCGCACCACTTTGAAGCCATGCGGAAACCATAACGTTTGTTCGGTTTGCAAGAGAATCATCATTTTAGGGTTTCTTAGGCGGTGCAGGAATTCGTCCATCCACAGTATGGTTCAACGAAGATGAAAGATGATATGCAAAACTGACCGGAACTGCAAAAATGACTGGGACCCTTGTGAACAAAAGGGGAACCAAGAGGAAACCAACTGTGAAAAACATTCACGTGAGAGGGGGAGACCCTGATACCCTCCCACCAATTAACGTGGAACCTAACGGGGGGGTCTGGAAGACCATGTTCAATTCAAGGAACCCTGCCAGGTTCCATGTTCATTGGTGGGAGGGTTCCCCCAAATATGTTGTTCTGAGCCAAGTCCGCATCAACCACACGACAAAACCTTACGGGAGCCGAACGGTGCTGGGAAATCGTTTTGAAGATTTCAAAGCAAGACTCTGGAGGCGGGTGGCTCGTCCGTCTTTGGTGTCCGAACCCCTTTTTGGTTGGTTAAGGACCAAAAGGAAAGCTGAAGCCATTTTTGGGGGTCGCCTGAAAGTCACAACGGGAGTTGCGACGAGCTGTGAGGCTTCTCCGGTCCTTGCAATACTTAGGGTTGGCTCAGCTAAGATTTGCTGGCTCTCGGCTTGGAATGAGGGAATGACCCCTACCACGCCATCCTTGGTGGCTTCCTGAAAGGAAATCCCCAGGTTCATTCCCCAACCCGACATTGATTGCTCACTGAGAGCCATCAGGTTCACCGTTTCGTCAGGACATCTCCCCAAAATGTTCTTCGGGTTCCTTCCCGGTGTCCCATTAACAGGATCCTTACATTATACACCTGAACATTGCCTGGTAAATGATAGTTTCCCTTCATTTTGGTGGAAAATGTATCTTTTCAGGAGCCCTGTTTAAAGCCATCCAAAAAGGGCGATTCGCGGGGGACTTCTCCTTTAAGGAGCCCAAACTCCCTCACCTTGGCAGCAGGTGCCACGGCGGCGGCAGACCAGATCTCATGATTGGAGGCGACGAGACCCACTTGCATCACAGGGCTGAGCTGAAAAACTGGAGGCCGACACGTGCGAAGCACCAACACCTTAAAAGGTCGTGAATTGGACTTCTGAGTGGTTCTGTCCAACATATGTGAACTCATTTGAAGATCCCATCATCAATGTCCGGTGACCTCGTGTCTGCCGGTGGTTTGTTCACGCCAGATGGCACGTTGCTCATGTCATGACAGTAAAACACTGCAGCTCTTCGCTTGCGCAGCCCAGCCCTGGAATCGCGATGACAGCTTGAGCCGGGATTCGGCAGGATGTCGGGCAAAGAGCTGCTTCCAAGGCCCAGAAAACAAAAAACCACGTGGGTGATTGCGTACGATATATCCAAATCCTTCTTCCGCCTTGCTCGAATCGGTGAGCTCGCCATAGAACAGGCAGAATCATCATTGGCTAAAAAATTGCAGGCAATCAGGCGACACGTTGGCTCAAAGTGCTTGTTCTCTCTGTGTGCTGCATGGGTCTGTCGTGCTGAAATGTTGCGTCCCCTGAAACCTACCCAAGAGAAACATGGGACCTGAAAGAGCCCTCCCTGGAAGGCGCCGGGGATCTTTTCTTTCAGGTAATTATGGCGGTTGAAAAAAAAAACAAAAAAACGGCTGGACAAGGCCGGGGTTCTCCACTTCGGCTTGCCTTGGGACCTCCAAACCTGTAGGGGGTTCCAACTTGCAGCTCTAACGCACCTCAGACAAAGGCAACCCAAAGGAGCCATGCCCACGGGATTCCAGCCATATCTCCGATGAGCATCGCCCTCAAAGAAACTCACCAACCAAATGGCAACCCAAAGTTGTTGGAAACCCCAAGAAAGTATAAGGGTTGATCTAGATTCGGTACCTCTTTCGTTTCCTTTTGAAACAACCTCATGCAGGGTACTCGATAAGGGTTCCTTGCTCCGAACATGGCACCCAACACAGGGTTCCTTTTAATCTCAGCCTGATCCAGGTACCTCCGTCATCACTTGTTGGCGCTGTCTCCCCCTGGTTTTTAAATTTCAACCCTAAGCTCTTGTAGAGGGTACATGGGACCCCCCGTTGAACCCCCAAACCAACAATCCATACCAACAATGATCTTGGATGTTGACCCCACTTAGTCGGTGATGTGCCCATTCTGGGTTATTGATGAACCGAGAAAATCCAGCACCAGTTGGAATGAATGAACACTTATAAATGATGTGACAAACCACCCATCAACGGGTGCCGATCGGAGTGGATTTTCTTCACCACCAACTACTCACTAATTTAGGCCCACAAAAAGATGTTCAGACTCTGCTTGATATTTAGCCTAACGGCCGAATGTTGACCCCGATTCATACACCCGGCTTATGAATAGCAAGGTGTTCCCCACTAGACCAGGGACCACTCCCCTATTCATATACCGGGGTTTATGAATCCGGGGCTCCCATTTCTCTATATTGCCATGGGTCAAAATGCAAATCGTACCCCCAGTGAACATCCCAATCCCAACTAAAATAGGTTCTAAAATGGGTGGTGAATTCACCTACCAACCAAAATGATACCAACACGGCGTTGACAACCACAGCCATATAAATATAAGGTAGGAGACCCCACATGAGGCGACTTCTGCCCACTTCCGCCGCGGCGCCGTGGACAGCTTCGCGCTAGAGGCCTTGCCCCTGGCAATAGCGAGTGCAGGAGGGAAAGGCGCGAAGCCGAAGGCAGGGAAGGGCTCTTAAAGACTCAATATTCTTAGCACCTGTTCATTCTTAGAACCTTTTGATTCTTAGAACCTTTGCATTCTTACAACCTTTGTACCCTTAGAACCTTTGTACCCTTGGAACCTTTCCATTATTAGCACCTTTGTACCCTTAGAACCTTTTCATTTATAGAACCTTTGCACCCTTAGAACCTGTTCATTCTTAGAACCTTTTGATTCTTAGAACCTTTGCATTCTTACAACCTTTGTACCCTTAGAACCTTTGTACCCTTGGAACCTTTCCATTATTAGCACCTTTGTACCCTTAGAACCTTTTCATTTATAGAACCTTTGCACCCTTAGAACCTGTTCATTCTTAGAACCTTTTGATTCTTAGAACCTTTGCATTCTTACAACCTTTGTACCCTTAGAACCTTTGTACCCTTGGAACCTTTCCATTATTAGCACCTTTGTACCCTTAGAACCTTTTCATTTATAGAACCTTTGCACCCTTAGAACCTGTTCATTCTTAGAACCTTTTGATTCTTAGAACCTTTGCATTCTTACAACCTTTGTACCCTTAGAACCTTTGGAACCTTTCCATTATTAGCACCTTTGCACCCTTAGAACCTGTTCATTTTAGAACCTTTTTCCTTTCATTCTTAGAACCTTTTTGCCCTTTGCATTCTTACAACCTTTGTAAACCTTTTCATTCTTAGAACCTTTGTACCCTTAGAATTCAAGAGAACCTTTGTACCCTTAGCACCTTTGTACCCTTAGAACCTTTTTATAGTACCCTTAGAACCTTTGTTTCTTAGGTACCCTTGGAACCTTTTCATTCTTAGAACCTTTGTACCCTTAGAATCGTTTCATTCTTAGAACCTTTGTACCCTTAGAACCTTTGTACCCTTGGAACCTTTCCATTATTAGCACCTTTGTACCCTTAGAACCTTTTCATTTATAGAACCTTTGCACCCTTAGAACCTGTTCATTCTTGGAACCTTTTGATTCTTAGAACCTTTGCATTCTTACAACCTTTGTACCCTTGGAACCTTTTCATTCTTAGAACCTTTGTACCCTTAGAACCGTTTCATTCTTAGAACCTTTGTACCCTTAGAACCTTTGTACCCTTGGAACCTTTCCATTCTTAGCACCTTTGTACCCTTAGAAACTTTTCATTTATAGAACCTTTGCACCCTTAGAACCTGTTCATTCTTAGAACCTTTTGATTCTTAGAACCTTTGCATTCTTACAACCTTTGTACCCTTGGAACCTTTTCATTCTTAGAACCTTTGTACCCTTAGAACCGTTTCATTCTTAGAACCTTTGTACCCTTAGAACCTTTGTACCCTTGGAACCTTTCCATTCTTAGCACCTTTGTACCCTTAGAAACTTTTCATTTATAGAACCTTTGCACCCTTAGAACCTGTTCATTCTTAGAACCTTTTGATTCTTAGAACCTTTGCATTCTTACAACCTTTGTAACCTTTTCTTTTGTACCCTTAGAATCCATTCTTAGAACCTTTGTACCCTTCCTTTGTACCCTTGGAACCTTTCCATTATTAGCACCTTTGTACCCTTAGAACCTTTTCATTTATAGAACCTTTGCACCCTTAGAACCTTTCATTCTTGAACCTTTTGATTCTTAGAACCTTTGCATTCTTACAACCTTTGTACCCTTGGAACCTTTTCATTCTTAGAACCTTTGTACCCTTAGAACCGTTTCATTCTTAGAACCTTTGTACCCTTAGAACCTTTGTACCCTTGGAACCTTTCCATTCTTAGCACCTTTGTACCCATAGAAACTTTTCATTTATAGAACCTTTGCACCCTTAGAACCTGTTCATTCTTAGAACCTTTTGATTCTTGGAACCTTCTTTAGAACCGTTTCATTCTTAGAACCTTTGCACCCTTAGAACCGTTTCATTCTTAGAACCTTTGCACCCTTAGAACCGTTTCATTCTTAGAACCTTTGCACCCTTAGAACCGTTTCATTCTTAGAACCTTTGCACCCTTAGAACCGTTTCATTCTTAGAACCTTTGCACCCTTAAAACCGTTTCATTCTTAGCCCTGATGTTTGAGTTGCGGATGAAATCACTGGGCATGACAGCCCCTTTTTGGCCGAAGAAGGAAAATAGCCTGCAGTTAGTTGAGTGGGTTATGAGCCCAACGTTTTTCCTGTAGGCCCTCCTAAGGGCACGCCATGGCATCCTCGGCTGGGTCGGCGCAGACCGCTGACTCGCCGGAGACGGCGATGGTGCCGTGGCAGCCAAGCCGCGAGGACGCGGTGCCGCTGGGGCCGGCGGTGGCGGTGAATCCTTTTTGGTCAGAAAAGGCCAAGGAGGAAGCGCAGCTCAAGGCGCTTCGCCCGAAGGATCTGCCGGAGGTGGAGGAGGAACAAGGGTCGCTGGTAAGCCCGGGAGCGCTGCCGGTGGGCTCGATCTACAGCGCGGAGATCCCGGCGGGTGGCCTTGATGAGCTCCTCGGTGCCTTCAAGCAGGTCATCACGCAGAACCAGGCGCTCTGGCAAGAGATGAAAAGCCTCAAGGAGCAGGTGCGTGAAGGCGGTGGAAGCAAGGCCATGAAGGAGTTGGGGGATGCACCACGTGGTCCTGGGATGGGGCCTGGGGTGGACGCGCCTCGTGCTGCTCCGGGAGGTGGTGATCTGTTGGGTCTTCCGGGAGGAGGTGCCGTTGGCGGACCTTTGGTGCTGCGAGCACGACAAGGAGGACCTGGAGATCAGAGCGGGTACCAAACCCCAACGGCGCTGGCGGGAGCCTATGGTGGTGCACCGCCCGGAGGAGGACCTCGGGAGCGTCGAGCAGATGATGGTCCTGGAGGGCTTCATCCTGAACAACCTCAAGGGGGAGAACCTGGTCGTGGAGGTGCGCATCGCGGAGGTGGGCAAGGACCAGGAGATCCTTCTGAAGGAGCGCTACTACCTGGCTATGGAAACGGGTGGGTCACTGGACGTCAGGATGCGGGTCTTCGAGGTGAGGGCCAGCCATCGGGGCACGAAGGAGGTGGGTTTGGTGCGGCTGGTCGTCATGCAGATCAGCATCTACCCGGCGGAGGGTTTCATGGAGGGTGGCCCTATAGCGCTGGTGGACCCGGAGGTCCCGGTGGAAGTGCGGCGGCCATGAATCCGTGGATGGGAGGATGGACGCCTGGAGAAACTGTTCGCACGGTGGAGTTGCCGGCATTGGGGGAGGTGAAGGAAGGCGAGCTCGGGTCATTGGTGGTGGGGGATTGGCTGATGTTGATCAGCCCGGTGATGAAGGACCTCACTGTCAGTTCCGGAGCATGGTGGGATCAGGTGCTTGCAGTGGCGGCAGAGGCCTACGCGCAGTGGTTGCAGGCGGATCCTTTGCAGCGGCTTCACATCAGGCCGCGGGCGGTGGAAGATGAAGGTGGTCGTTGGAGTCGGGTGGCTCAGCGGGCACAGGCCATGTTGGTGGCTGCTTTGCCACCAGGGTTGAAAGCGGAGGTGCTTGCGGAGCGAGCTGCAACGGCCTGGGAGATTCTGTTCCGGGTGTTTACAAGGTACCAGCCAGGAGGGCTGGCGGAGAGATCACAACTCCTCAGAGGCTTGGTTGAGCCGCGGGTGCCAACGACGCTGAGTGAGGTGGTGGATGGGGTGAGGACGTGGAAAAGGTGGCTTGCCCGGACCCGTGAGCTGAAGGTGGCGATTCCGGATGCTACGTTGCTGGTTGGAGCCCTGGATCGGTTCGTCGGGATGGTCACGAAGCATTCTGGCCAGGCGATGTTCAGACTGAATGCGGCACGAGCTGGACTGCGGGTGGACGTGGCTCCCAGTTTGGAGGCGGTGGCGCAGCTGGCGGACGTCGTCCTGGCGGAAGGAGAAGCAGCACTACACGGAGCTTCGACCTCATCTACTACAACCGCAAAGGTCAAGGCGCTGGTGACCAAGGATGGAGGAGGTTGGGAAAAGGGGAAGGACAGCCCAAAAGGAGGAGGGAAAGGCAAGGGCAAGGATGCTTCGGCGGCTCCTGTGTGCCGGTTCTTCCTCACGGATGGGGGCTGCAAGAAGGGAGCGGATTGCACCTACAAGCATGAGTTCGACGGGGACAAGCGTGGACGCTGTTGGAATTGCGGAGGGACTTCGCATACCCGCAAGGACTGCCCGGTGAAGGTGCGAAAGCCTCGCGATGGAGATGGCGGAGCCAAGAACTTCAGCGAGAACGATGTGAAGGGCCAGGCCGTGAGGAAGGTCGAGGTGGATGCATCGGCGCCTACTACCGGTGGAGGAGAAGGATCGCCCGCGTCAGGGGCAGGGAAGACATCACAGTCAGATGGAAGTGATGGTGAAGCAGTGCGGGGACTCATTCAGGAAGCAGCGGGATTGCTGAAGAGCTTGAGGGGCCCTGAGTTGAGGAGGATTCAAGTGAGCTCCCTGGAGGTTAAGAACAAGAGGGCGCTGCTGGATGGAGGAGCGACGCACAGCCTGAGGCAGTGTGTATCTACACAAGAGTGGGAGGAGGCTCGGGAGGTCGAGGTGCATTTGGCGCAGGGGACGGTCTCTTTGCGGCTCATCCCGTGGACGAGGACGTTGCTGACCACAGAGGAGGTCCAGCCCATCGTTCCCCTGGGGTACCTGGTGCAGAGGGGCTACTCGGTGAAGTGGGAAGAGGACCGCTTTCAGCTGACCGATCAGCATGGGCGGACTCTGGACACCGCTTTGGAAGGAGGATGCCCCACGGTAGATGAAAGCCTCGGGTTGGAGCTCATCAAGGAGTTGGAGCTGGAGGCGCTGAAGCACCAGATGCGGTTGATGGCGTTGAGAGGGAAGCCGTTGACGACGCAGGAGGAGGAGAAGGTTGGCCTGGAGATGGTCAAATGGCTTCGGAGGCTGAGGGAGCTATTTCCTGAAGTGCCGGAACGCATTCTGGAGCGGCTGCCCCCGAGGTCGGAGTGGACAAGTTTGCCGTGGAATAGGCGGACCAGGAGGAGGATTCAGA